ATGAATCATATCGCCGTGTAGGAGTGAGAACGTGACAACAACAACATGGGTGTGCCTTGAGAGAACCATCTCATCCAGCAGCAACTAATGATCATATCTCTAATCAATAATTCTTTAGCTATTTTTTTCTCTCATGGAAATCGAGTGCGCTATATCGAGAACCGTAGCGGCGCATACACGAATAAATGATGATGGTCTCTCGTCTCGATAATTTTCTCTTGTTCCCGTGTGTGTGAGATTGGAAATCTCTGTTCCCCTTTTTCCCTTACATTACCCTGTATCCTTCGCTTTTATTCCAGTATTCTCGGATGGACCTGCGCATGAATAGATCGCGTCCGGACTGTGTGTGTGTGTGTGTGTGTGTGTGCGCGCGTGCGCGCGCGCGCGCGCTAATCTTATATTGATACCTGCCACAACAGACCCAAACATATTTTTATTAATATTTCAGAGAAATATTTTTGAAATATTTCGATTACAATTATCGATATCAATTCTTTATATCAGTAATATCAGTACGATCTAAAGAAAGAGAAAAGTAGCGTCAATTTTTATCCAAATTAATTGTTTTATGATTGCGCGAACAATGCGCTTAGTTTGTATTGTAAATGTGAGCAAAAATATTCAGTTTAAGAGTATAATGAAGTCGAATCGCACTTGCATCGCATTTCTTCCTTTCCCTCTGAATTTCTTTGCTCTTTCTCCAGCATCGAGTAATCATTTAATCGGCCTTGTTAAAAATGAAGAATAGACACAAAATTTTGCTAGTATAATTCAATTTCACTTTATCAGCATTTTTGCTCTTCGCTACATGCACATACATGGACATACCTCGCCGATCAATGTTCAATATTCAAGATCGATTTTTGTTTTTCTTTATTCCTAGAAAATTTGTTTTATTAGACATCGAACATGTTTCGAGATTCAAAGAAAAAGAGTTTCAACAACCATTAGTTTGTGAATGTTGTACATTTATGTAAATATGAAGAATTTATTTTTTTTTTCATATCCATAGCCTTATATTCGGAACTTGGTACTTTCGGGATAACTTGGATAAATTCTTAACTTAATTCAATTCTGTAAAATCGTTTACAGCAAAACTTGTAATATAATAATGTAATTCGTATAACATTTGTATTATATTTAATTTTAATCTAATTTTTTGAATAATATAAGTAATAATTTAT